TACACATATCACCTCCCTCTTGAGCCTCCCTCCCCCCCACCCCTCTATGTCATCACAGAGCACCAGACTGGGCTTCCTGTGTTATATAGCAACTTCTCACCAGCTATCTGCTTTACACACGAGAGTGCATATATGTCGATGCTACTTTCTCTGTTCATCCCACTCTTACTTCCTGTCCTGTGTCCACAAGATCATTGTCTATATCTCTGTCTCCATTCCTTCCCTGCACAGGTTCATCCGTATCATTTTTCTAAATTCCATATACATGTATTAATATACTATATCTGTTGTTCTCTTTCTGACTTACTTCACTCTATATAACAGGCTCTAGGCTCATCCACCTGACTATAACTGACTCAAATTCATTCTTTTTTATGGCTGAGTGGTATTCCATTGTATATATGCACCACATCTTCTTTATCCATTCATCTGTTGATGGACATCTAGGTTGCTTCCATATCCTGGCTGTTGTAAACAGTGCTGCAATGCACACCCAGGTGTGTGTTAATCGCTTAGTCATGTCCAACTCTTTGTGACCCCATAGACCCCATAGCCTGCCAGGCTCCTCTGTCCATGGAGTTTCCCAGGCAAGAATACTGGAGTGGGTTGCCATTCCCTTCTCCAGGGGATCTTCCCAAGCTAGGGATCGAACCTGGGTCTCCTGCATTGCAGGAAAGTTTTTTTTTTACTATCTGAGCCCCCAGGGAAGCTGGCACATTGGGGTACATGTCATCTAAAAACTGAGTGGTAAAGCATAAGAAACATTTTTGAACTTTGTAATTTGGTTGTGCAGGGGGAGAAAAAAAAAGTGCTTCTGGATTTCTTTTTTAAAGTACTTAATAACTAGAGTTTACTCTTAAATCAAACTTACAAACCTCTTATCAAATGTGGGTGCTGTCCTTATTAGTTGATGTAAACACACACACACACGCACACACACACACACCCCGTCTCTATCTCAGGGCTCAGCCCAGCCTACCTAGCACTGTTCCAAGTCCTGAGCATCAGTTGTGTCCACTCATCTCTACTAAGAGTGACCCTGCTCTCCCTCTGCGTACCTTCCTATCCTTTGTATCAAAGTCTAACTCCCACTTTTCTTCATTGCGTTTGGGGGAAACACTGAGTTTAAAAAAAAAAAGAACAAAACACATAGACTTCATTTTTTGCGCTCACAGCTTTGGCTAACACACCAAGCATCTCTTGTCCACAGGAGGATATAGGGCTTTTTGCCTACAGTGAGCTTCACGTACCTTTTCTTAGAACCCCTGATTTGACAAAAGGGCCCATAAGATTAAAGTCATGAAACAGCTTCTTTTTCTTTTTTGTGTTTTTTTGAATGTCTGTTTGCATTTTTATTTATTTATTTTTGGCTGCGCTAGGTCTTTGTTGCTGCTCGGGCTTTTCTCTAGTTATGGCACAAAGGCTCAGCAGTTGCGGGGCCCGGACTTTGGAGCACAGGCTCGGTAGTGGTGGGACACAGGCTTAGTTGCTCCAATGAACATGGGATCTTCCTGGATCAGGGATCAAACCTGCATCTCCTGCATTGGCTGGCAGATCCTTAACCACTGGCCCACCATCGAAGTCCCAGCTTCTTCTTCTGAAAGCAAGTCTTCTCAGTATTTTCTTGCTCCCTCTGTCACTCAGTCTCTATTTCTTGGCTTACCTCTGGCAATTCAGCCTCATTCAGAATTGAAAGGCTTAAAAATGAAAAGCTAGGCTTCCCAGATGGTCCATAGTTAAGAATCCACCTTCCATTGCAAGGCACACAGGTTTGATCCCTGATCTGTGAAGATTCCACCTGCTTCAGGGCAAGTAAGCCTGAGCACCCGTAAGAAAGATCCAGTGCAGCCAAAATAAAATTTAAAAAGAAAATATTTCCACTTACAAAAGCATCAAAAAGAATAAAATGTTTAAAGAAAGAAAATGCCTAAGATTCAAGACTCAGCAGCCCTGAAGATGAAATGTCAGTGATCAGGACAAATTACAATAAAACTACCTGGGCTGGTTCCATTGCACTTTCCAATAAGATTTCAGTACTCCCACCATTGGCGGACATTTAGGAGGACCAGCAGCTCCACTCAGAAATGGACCCGGGCCCACGTTTCCCTCCAAGTCACTGACCACCCCCTGGATAACGAGCCCCCCGTGAGCTCCCTGGCCCCCTTGTTGCCTCACCGGGAAGATCAAGGAGCCATCATCAGCAATCCTTTCTAAGATGTTTCTAAGATGTTTGAACAACCTAGTCATTTCTGCATTGCTTTCTTCATGCCCCTCTAAGTGCTGGAGGGAGGTTTGCATCCTTTAAAAAAAAAAAAAAAAACATCACAACAGAGCATCCAGGCAAGACTGATGCCTGTACCGAAGCAGGAGGCAGCTGGGAGGTGACTTGGGTTGAATCTGGTCTTCCCACTTTGCAGCCGTGTGTCCTTTGTGTGTGTGTGTGTGTGTGTGTGTGTGTGTGTGCGCGCACGCGCGCTCAGTCATGTCTGACTCTTTGTGATCCCATGGACTGTGGCCCACCAGGCTCCTCTGTCCATGGGATTTCTCAGGAAGAACACTGGAGTGGATTGACATTTCCTACTCCAGGGGATCTTCTCAACCCAGGGATCGAACCTGCGTCTCTTGCATCTCCTGCATTAGCAGACGAATTCTTTACAACTAGTGCCAAGTGGGAAGTGTCCTTAGGAAATGGTACTTAATTCTTGGACCTGTGAAATGACAGTAATGGCCCCGCCTCCTGGGTTCTTGTGACTGACTAGTGACTGGGACCATACATGGGAGGTGGTCACCTGCTGGGCTGGGCACGTATTAGGTGCTCAGTAAACCAAGGGCTTCACTCCGGTTCATATCCCGCTCCAAGCTCAACCAGTCAAGCCCCAAGCAGGGAAGACACCCTCATGGCCTCTGGTTCTGTCCTCCTGTCCCTCTCAGTATCCATCTCTTGTGGCTTCTGGGACAAATGACCACAAATCTGGTGACTTAAAACCATACATGTGAGCCTTCCCTGGTGGTCCAGGGGTTAAGACTTCACCTTTCAATGTAGGGTATGCAGGTTCGAGCCCTGGTCAGGGAGACGGGATGCCATATGCCTGGTGGCCAGAGGGGTAAAAGCCGGAAGCAATATTGCAACAAATTCAGTAAAGATATTTTAAATGGTCCACATCAAAAAATCTTGGGGAAAAAAAGCCACATATAGGAACTTCCCTGGTTAAGATTAAGAACTTCAGTGATTAAGATTCCACACTTCCATTGTAGGAGGCGTGGCTTCAGTCCCTCATTGGGGTACTGAGATCCTTCAAGTAAAAAAACAAAAAAATTTCCTGAAAACCACACACGTGTATTCTCCCACATGTTCTGAGAGAAGAAACCCTTCATCAGCTTCACAAGGTGTCAGCAGGGCTGCACTCCCTCCCATCCCAACCCCGAGACTCTAGAGGAGAGAACACTTCCCTGACTTCCGAAGCTCCTAGAGATGCTTTCTTTGGGCTCCTTGGCCCTTTCTTCCATCCACAAAGCTGGCTGCATAGCATCTACACAGCCTTCCTCTGCCCAAGGCTCCCAAATCTCCCTCTGCTTCTTTCCTGTAAGGACACTCGGATTATATTTAGGGACCACCTGGATAATCTCGGACTACCTGCTCATCTCAAGACCCTTAACTTCATCACACTCGAGAAGTCATTTATGTCAAATAAACTAATGTACCAGTCCCGGAAGTTAGGATTTGGTATCTTTGAGAGCCATCATTCATCCTACTGCATGACTCCAAAGCTTCGCCCCAAGTCTTGTTTAGGACGAGCATGGGCTCCCCTGCAGAGCTGGGACACAAAGATGAGGGGACAAGGTGCTGTGAACTTGGCTCTTCTCTCAAATGGTGGCAGAGAGAAGCCTTCCCATACCCGAGCACAAGGTGGAAATGTGAAATCCGAAACCAGACCCCAGGGCTGATTCATGGCTGCTCCCGCCCAGCAGGGGAGTCAAACTCCTCTACGCTCAGTTTCCTCATCTGGAATATGGGACTAACACCCATCTCGGGGTTGTTCTGAGGATGAAATGAGCTAACATGTGCCTGGATGTGTTAACAGGCAGTTTGTTCCTCCTTCAGACAAATCAGGAAGTCATCACTGGGCAAAGAGAGGTGATGGGATGGGATGGGATGGGATGGGTGGTATGTAACACACAAGTAACTCTGCAGGTACGGCTCCATTACCTAAGGGCAGTCTCCCAGAGGAGGTGTAACCTAAATTATCAGCAGAACATCTGCAGCCAGTGGGGATGAGTGACCTCAACTAATCAAAGAGCTCGAAGGAGAGGTGGGTGGGGGCCCATGGTATCTGTCATTGTAGCCTCTGCTGTATCAGAAAGGAAAAACCAGTATCCAGGGGATTCCATGGCAGCCCAGTGGTTGGGACTCTGCACTTTAACTGCCAAGGGCATGGGTTTGATCCGTGGTCTGGAACTAAGATCCCACAAGCTATGTGTTGTGGCCAAAACAAACAAAAAACCAGTGTCCACTTACTTCTCATGATCACGCCCCCAGAAGAGCTATGACGCTTCAGTGTTCTCCTCTACTTTCTCTTGCTGTTCCCATGTTGTTGTTCAGTCACTAAGTCATGTCTGACTCTCTGTGACCCCGTGGACTGCAGCACGCCAGGCTTCCCTATCCTTCACTATCTCCTGGAACTTGCTCAAGCTCATGTCCATTAAGTCAGTGATGCCATCCAACCATCTCATCCTCTGTTGCCCACTTCTCTTGTCCTCAACATTTCCCAGCATCAGGGTCCTTTCCAGTCAGTTGGCTCTTCACATCAGGTGGCCAAAGTATTGGAGCTTCAGCTTCAGCATCAGTCCTTCCAATGAATATTCAGAGTTGATTTCCCCGAGGATTGACTGGTTTGATCTCCTCACCGTCCAAGGGACTCTCGAGAGTCTTCTCCACCACCACTTTGGGGTGTGATAAAAATTCACTCATGGGTCCCCCACCACTCTCTCTCTTCTTCCAGGTTTCTGACAGATGTGACTATGTCTTTGTCAATGGGAAGGAAATGAAGGGCAAGGTGGGCGTGGTGGTGAACTTCACCTTCCAGCACCTGAACACTCCTCTGGAGATGACGGTATGGGTGCCCCGGTTGCCCCTGCAGATCGAGATCTCGGACACTGAGCTCAACCAGATCAAGGGCTGGAGAGTCCCCATCGTCTCCAACAAGAGGTGGGTGTGCTGGTCAGGCTCCAAGGCAGAAACCCAGGTCAAGTATGCTTAGGCTAAAGGTGGAAATTTACAGGATAGCTAACTTCAGGCATGTCTCATTCCAAGGGTTCAAGGGTAGCCTAAGGGTGTGTGTCTCTGGCCCCTTCTCAGCTCGTTTGCTTATATCAGCTTCATTCCCTATCAAATTTTGCTCCTGAAGTTCCAGACTTCTAGTCTACCTTCTTTGCGACTCTGCAAAAAGTGCATCCTCTCTTCCCCAGTAATTCCTACTAGAGACTTGGAGTTAAGTGTTATTCTTACTTGGGTTGTGTGTCCATGCCTGATCTAATCACATGTAGGCGAGGAGGAGGAGAAGGGGGGAGATAGAATACACTGATTGGCCAGCTAGGCTGCAGCCACGTTCCTCTGGCTGGAGCCAGAGGAACTAAAGAAAGAAGGTCAACCCTGCCTAAACCAAGGGATCAATATCAGGAGATGGGAGAATTGATCTGGGAGGACCCAAGCCATAGAGCTTCACAAGAGACCTGTCTGAATAGATGCTGCCTGACCTGGGCAGTCTCTTTGTGCCCCCAGCCCAGAAACTCTGAGATTGCTTTCCCTTGGGGAGATGAAGTCCAAAGCTTGTCTTCTGTGTGCCTGGTATATCACTCTGATGGTGTTTGATGGAATCACAAGTCTGCACTGTCCACATGAGGCAAATAAGTGGGCCTCAGATCAAAAGAGAATTTTGTTCAGAGAACTTTGTCATCTCAGAGAGACCCATGCTTAAAGAATCATTTACAAGTGACTTGTAGAAAGGCAAAAGTGAGCATGTGCAGAATTAGACAAAGAAATATTCCTGGAGTCTGGGTACTCAATAGAGAGGAGAAAATTGGTACTTATGTGAGAGATAGCTTTTACATTCTTGCCCTTGGAAGTCCACCCCTTTGAGTTCTTGTGGCCCCTGGGAGAGGGTCTGGCTTCAGAAATGGAGGTTTGGGTTCCATGTGCAATTGGAAGGTGGTTTCAGCCATGATCTTTTTCTTAACCACAGGGGTTTCTAATGTTGAGTTGGGAGAATGGAATTCAGCATGGTTACTGATGCTCCTGAGGGCAGGCAGTTGCAGGGAGAGACTCACCAAGGAATTGGGGACTTCCCTAGTGATCCAGTGATTAAGATGCCATGTTTCCAATGCAGGGGGTGCAGGTTCAGTCCCTGGTTGGGGAACTAAGATCCCACATGCCGTTTGGCTGAAAAAAAAGAAAAAGAAAGAACTGGCTGAGTCTCATTATGGACAGTCCAGATGCTGTCACAACTTTCAGCTCAGATATAGCTGCAGAACTATTTCAAGGAATCAACAGCTGACCTGATGGAAATCATGATGGTGCTGGAAAGGGCTGAGGGTGCATAAGGCATCAGATGTTGAGGGAACAACTAACATCTGCTTCCTGGCCACCATCCTTGCTCTTTCAACAGTTACCATCACCAAATACCTTGAGTGAAACACTCACTTTCCTTGTGTACTGGTTTACAAGGCTACACTGGTCATCCAGAGCCTTATTGTATTGACTACCATGACATGATATAATGGCTTATCCCAAAACCAAGTAGCTTAAAGGAAAAACCTGTCATCTCACAGTTCTTCTGCATCAGGAACACAGGCAAGGCTTGGGTCTCCCTCAGGCTGCCATCCAGTTGTCAGCCAGAGCTGTGGTCTCATGATGAGGCTCAGTGGGGATGGACCTGCAGCTAAGCTCACGTGGTTGCTGGCTGGTCTCAGCTCCTCACAGGCTACTGAGCTGAGGGCCACAGTTCCTCACTGGATGTTGGCCAGAGGCTTCTCAGTTTATAGCTGTGGGATGTCCTCATAGAGCTGCCCACAGCATGGCAGCTGGCTTCTTCAGGGCAAGCAAGAGAGAGGAACCAAGGAAAGAGAGCCAAACAAGAAAGTACCAAGTCGCATCCAACTCTTAGTGACCCACGGACTGTAGCCATGTGAGGCTCCTTTGTCCGTGGGATTTCCCAGGCAAGAATAATGGAGTGTGTTGCCATTTCCTTCTCCAGGGGATCTTCCCCACCCAGGGATCTAATCTGTGTCTCCTACATTGGCAGGTGGGTTCTTTACAGCCAAGCCCCTAGGGAGGCGTGTACTCAGGCCCTAAGCATGTGGGTGGGTGCTCAGTCGCATCTCTTTGTGACCCCATGGACTGTAGCCCACGAACCTCCTCTGTCCGTGGGATTCTCCAGGCAAGAATACTGGAATAGGTTGCCATGCCCTCCTCCAGGGGATCTTACCGACCCAGAGACCAACCCCCAGTCTCCTGCATCTCCTGCATTGCAGGCGAATTCTTTACACTGAGCCAGTGGGGAAGCCCATCCTCAGGCCACAGCAGTGGTCAAATATTCTGAGCATCACCCCTGCACATCTGTTGAAGCCCACCCCAGGCTATGAGCTCCATGACGGCAGGACTTAGGCCCACTCACCACTGCAGCCCCTGCCACATTTCACACCCAGCCCCCCGGCCGGTGACCCAACAAATCAAGCTCTGTTAAAGCGAACCGCCCCTTTGACAGGCCAGCTCAGGACAGCGAGGAGGAGGATGAAGACGAAAGGAGGAACAGGGGCTGCACGCTCCAGTACCAGCATGCCATGGTGCGGGTCTTGACTCAGTTTGTGGCGGAAGCGGCTGAGCCCGGGGGGCAGCTGGCCCACCTGCTGGGCTCCGATTGGCAGGTGGACATCACGGAGCTGGTGAATGACTTCATGCAGGTGGAGGAGCCCCGGATCGCCAAGCTGCAAGGGGCACAGGTCCTGATTGGCCAGGAACTGGGCATGACCACCATTCAGGTAAGTCATCTCAGAGGAGAGCTCTGTTATTTGTGTCTTAGACTAATATCCAGTCTTTAAATTAAAGGGCAGTTGACTTACAATATTGTGTTCGTTTCAGGTGTGCAACCAAGTGATTCGGTTATACATACATATGTATCTATTCTTTCTTTTCCCTTGTAGATTATCATAAGATATTGAATACAGTTCCCTGTGCTGCACAGTAGGTCCTTGCTGTTTATCAATTTTATTTATAGTAGTGTGTAGTAGTATGTATATATGTATGTGTCATATTTTAGATTCCACATATGACTATCATGTTATTTGTCTTTCTCTATCTGGCTTACTTCACTTAGTTTGATAATGTCTAGATTGTCCGTGTTGCTGCAAATGGCACTATTTCATTCTTTTTTATGACTAAGTAGTATTCCATTGCATATATGTACCACATCTCCTTTATCCAGTCATTTGTCAATGGACAGGTTGTTTCCCTGCCCCGGCTACTGCAAATAGTGCAGCAATGAACATAGAGGTATATTTAATTTTTCAAGTTAGAGTTTTCTCTAGATGTTTGCCCAGGACTGCTATCCCTGGATCATGTGGTAACTCTGTTTGACAATGCCCATTTTCAGAATGAGTAGGTTGAAAGGAACTGTCAAGTAAATAAAATAAATGATATAATAATGTGACAAGAGTCTTTAAATTCCTCACAGATTCCTTTCATTTGAGCAACACTGGCCTGACTTCTTGGGTTGAATCATGCCTGAAACTTCAAGACATTACTTGTCTGTAAGACATGGTGGACATTACCATCTTGGGACAAAAGCTCCAAAAATAGAGTCACTAATATATGTACTTCTGGGCATATATCTGGAAAAGACAAAAACTCTAATTCAAAAAGATACATGCACCCCAGTGTTCATAGCAGCACTATTTACAATGGTAAAGATATGGAAGCAACCTAAGTGTTAATCAACAGATGAATGAATAAAAAAGATATGGTGTGTGTGTGTGTATATATATATATATATATATATATATATATATATATATAATGGAATATTACTCGGACAGTAAAAAGAACAAAATCATGCCAGTTGCAACAACATAGATGGACCTAGAGATTTGCATACTAAATGGAGTAAGCCAGTCAGAGAAAGACAAATATCATATGATATTAAGTTCATTTGTACCATCTAAAAAAATGATACAAATGAACTTATTCACAAAACAGAAACAGCCTCACAGACATAGAAAACAAACTTATGGTTATTAAAGGGGAAAGGGAGATGGAGGAACAAATTAGAAATCTGAGATTAAAATATGCACACTACATATATGAAATAGACAATCAACAAGGACCTACTGTACAGCCATGGATCTCTACTCAATACTCTGCAAGAACCTATGTGGGAAAAGAATCTGAAAAAGAACAGACATATGTGTGTGGGTAACTGAATCACTTTGTTGTACACCTGAAACTAACACAACATTGTAAATCAACTCTACCCCAATATAAAATACAATTTTTAAATTTTTAAATTAAAAAAATTTGAAAACTCTCGAGATGAACTAACCTCATTAGAATTCAGGGCATGGTCAGCAGCTTCTCGCTCTGTCAGTCTACCTCACTGACCCTTGTCACCTGAAAGCTTTGCATCCTGCCGTGATGCTCAGCTGCATTCACCAGGTCACAATTTCCCACACATTCCAGAAATGTGCTGAAGGAAGGAACAAAGTTATTGTGCCTCCACCGGTCTTGTGAGCACCTCCTGCTGGGAATGGATGGGGTAGACCAGTGTGCAGAATGGGAGTTTTGAAACAAACACTTTCACAAGCCATGGTTCTAGGAGGGCCACTAGGGTTTAGTCATTTTCCTCCTGTCTGAGACCAAATATTATTCCTCAGTGGCTGCCCCATTTGTAGGAGAGGCGATCATCCTCTTAAGCAACAAGTGAGGTTTCTAAAATATTTGTGCATAGCAAAGACTTATAAGTGAAACTATATTGGATTGTGGAAAATGTAAATCACTCTGGGAAATGGGCTCGAATTTAAAAGAGATCATTTTTGAACCCGTTATTAACAAATGACTTAATTAACTATGGGAGTTCTCATTAAAATAGATTTATTGCAGCTGTCAGTTGGAGCATATATTATAAAATATTCAGACAGCCTATTGAAACAAAATGTTTTTATTTATATGATCAAGAAAATCTAATTTTGCTGTTAACCCTATACTTTTTTGAAAATGTTTTATAACTTTCCTTTTAGATATTCTTATGAAACCACTTGCAAATGACATAATTTAATAAAGTACTTTTACCAGTGGAAAAAAAAAGTGAAAATTAAAGAGATCATTTTATCAAGGAGGAAAACAGATTTCTTTGAAGTGGGACCCAGGAGTCACATGTTCTAATGCTCTCTAAAAGCTGAGAAGGAGCCGTCAGTGAGAAAAGCAGGATGGGTGTCAGATGAAAGACAATGACTGATTTGGAACCTAAATGTAAGGAGCACAATAGGGAGTGGTGAGGAGTGTGATAGAGAGGCTGCTCTTCCTCTCCAAAAGCTGCCAAAGAGGAAATGGGAGCCCAGCATGGAGAGATATTGCCAGTTTTTCAGAAAAGCTAGAAAGCTATCGTTAATATGAAATCCTCTACTTTTTTTAAGGATGGCCATTCATCCCATTTTAAAGTACTACGTCAAACAAAACATACCTGCCCCATAGACAAGCACTTGGAATCTTCACAGCCAACTTTTGCTCAAAAGATATGAATTCCTGCAGTTGCCCCACTCATCTGTCTGCCTCTCTCCCTCCCCCACATGGAGCATCCTTTACACCAAAGGGGGGCTTTCTGAAACCACAGAGAGCTATGTCATTTCTGCCTTTCAGATCCTGTCGCCTCTGTCAGACGCTATCTTGGCTGAGAAGACGGTCACCGTGCTGGATGAGAAGGTGACGATCACGGACCTCGGGGTCCAGCTGGTGACGGGACTGTCGCTTTCCCTGCAGCTCAGCCCAGGGAGCAACAGGGCCATCTTCGCCACTGCGGTGGCTCAAGAGCTTCTGCAAAGGCCCAAACAGGTGTGGGAGCGGGGGTGGCACGCTGTGGGGCGGGGTCTCCTACCGGGGAGGTCACACGGCTGAGGGGGGGGGTCACACACTGGCGGGAATCCTACGTGTCTTGGAGCCACATGTGGGGTTGGGTCACACACCGGTGGGTTTATTCATTGAGTGGGGTCCTGCCCTGAGCAGGTCACACACACACATCAAGTGAGGTCACACACCAGCTGAGGTCACGTAGCAGGTGAGGTTGCCCGTCTGATGGAGTCACCAGTTTGGGGGGGTGTCCCGCAAAAGAGTGGGATTGCACCCTGGGTGTTCCTCAGTCTTTTTTTTATTTTATTTTATTGGACTATAGTTAATTCGCGATGTAGTGTTAGTTTTAGGTGTATAGAAGTGTCAATCAGCTACACATATGCACATGTCTACTCTTTTCTTTAGATTCTTTCCCCATATAGGTCACTACAGAGTGCTGAGTCGGGCTCCTTGTGCTATCCAATAGGTCCTTGTTAGTCTTGAAAAGGGTCTGTGAACGAGTGACTGCTCAGCTTCAGGCTTCCTACCCCCCTAAAGGGAGATGCTGAACAACAAGGTTGCCATGAGTGATGGATTCTAAGTACCAGGAGCCAGAGGAGCTCAGGGCAGGCTCCACATCCCATTGGACATTGCATGTACTGTTTTTCCACCTTCAAGATGGTCCTGGCTCGTCCCCCCGCTGACCTCCCCGAGTGGTGGGGTGAAGGCGAGACCCTAAGGAGGTATCCAAACGTCTGTGAAGTCCCTGCTCCTGTCTGGGGTCAGAGGTCTTGGGGGTCAGAAGGAGATTGGAGGAGTTGCTTCCATATCTATTGTTTAGCTCCCAGGACAAGTAGCAAACTGGTGGTTACGTTGTACCTGGTATTCTTTCTCTTTGTTGGAGAACAGCATGTGCTAATAGAATGTGTGTGTGTGTTTGTACTGTGTGTGTGTGTCTTGAGTGTTGTGTATATGCTCTGTGTATCTTCAGTGCATGTTTGTGTGTCCACACCACAGTTTCCAAACAAACAGGGCACTTGGAAATGTTATCTGATCTCCTCCCTCATCAGAGGTGGAGAAACATTATTTCTTAGAGAGAACCTGGGTTGTGACTCTGGGGGGCCTTGTTTACCAAACACCCAAGGACAGTGGTCTCAGGCTGCTGATTCTCTGCCCCATGAAACAGACTGTCCTCCAGAGGGGATGCTGGGAGGCCTCCAGTCCTTGTAGGGGGTTTTCAGGCAATTTCCCTTGTCGATCAAGAGCCCTTTCCCCGGCAGCTCTATGCTCAGCAGGTGGGTTACGATGGGCCCCCTTATGCACCCGCTGAGACTGTGACTAAGCCAGACCGTCCCCTGGAAGCACAGAGTCTTGCAGTTTCCCAGCCCGGATCCATCACTGAATGCTCCTCCGTCGGGTGTTAGCTAATCCCTTGCCCTTTCACTGTGGTTTCTGTGTGCAAGGCTTTGGACCACAAAGCGCTTGAAAGTGGGTGATCTCAGAAATGGATACGAATTCTTGCCAAAGGCAAACCTCCCACTTCTCAGGGCATGATGCCAGCCAGGATGCAAGTTCCAGGTAGCAGAGGAGAAGTAACCCGAGGCTTCTTCCTGTCTTCCTGGGGTGATCCAATCAGGTGATGGCCAATGAGGAGTTAAGGAAGCGATAAGACACAGTTAGAAGAAGGCCACAGAGCTGATCCATTCCCCACATGCAGAGCAAACCATGTGACCCTGAGGTTTGCTCTGTGCTTGGTTTGGATGGAGCTTGGCTTCTGCCTGCAACTTGGCTCTGACATTTCAGTTTCAAGAAATCCAGTATGCATTTGAATTACCTGCCGTGATTTTTATGGCCAATCGGAAGACCCTAGTAGAGGACTTCCCTAGTGATCCAGTGGCTGAGATTTTGTGCTTCCAATGCAGGGGGCCGGGGTTTGACCTCTGGTCAGGGAACAAGATCCCACATGCTGCAACTAAGAAGTTCACATGCCCCAACTAAGACCTGGCACAGCTTAAAAAAAAAAAAATAGACCCTGTAAATCAGGGTTATGCCCAGTGGCTTTTGCACAGTCTCTTGGTGGTGTTTCCCACCTAGCAGCCAGTCCAAGCCAATGTCTAACAACTGAGCCAAAGTTACCGACTGAGCCAAAGAAGGAGCAGAAGCCACCAGTCTCATGTGAGAAGCTTCCTTCTCACTTCCAAAGACCAGATACCACCAGGAAAACTCACTCTGTTCTAGTTGGGGGTGCCTTGCTTTCAAGAAAGAGAAATCCACTCAAGCAAGTTGAAATAACACTGGATTTATTACAAGGTTAGCAAGGCTTTTGTCAAAGTGTTAGTTGCTCAGTTGTGTCTTATTCTTTGCAACTCCATGGACTGTATAACCTGCCAGGCTCCTCTGTCCATGGAATTCTCCAGGCAAGGACACTTGGCTTACTCCAGGAGTGGGCAGCCATTCCCTTCTCCAGGGGATCCTCCCGACCCAGGGATCAAACCCAGGTCTCTCTCCTTGCAGACATATCCCCCACGGTCTGAGCCACCAGGGAAGCCCAGCTGTAAGAACTTGGTGAAACGGGTTCATCAGTCTCTCTCACATGCATTATCTCATTAGATCAATGCTGAGCCCAGACATGTGCTTGTACTTGATCCGTTGTAGTTGCTCCAAAGTGAGGCTTCATTTCCCAGTTTCATACGAGCTCCCACTCATCTGCCCACAACTAAGTCCTTCAGTGCTGTCTTTCTTATTTCAAACTGGAAGGGGAGATGCCGGCAGGCTCAGAGCTGCTGAGATGAATGGCTCTGACAGCAGCCATTCTCCGGGTTAGGTCAGCTGTGGCCAGGTAGGCAGGGGCATAAGCCTCTTGGGGCTGAGATGAGATTATCTCATCTCTTATAATCCCCCTGGTCAGACTAGTCCCGAGGAAATCAGATCTAAAGCAACAAAGTAAAAAGAAAAGAAATTGAGATATACACAAACCTTGGCCCTGGCTACTCTTTGGTCTCCCAATTTCCCCCAGTGGGTGGGTTGGAGGATGGATGGGGGACAAAGATTCTCCCAATAGAGAGCTTCCTAACCTTAATCTTCACCCCAACCCCTCTCTCTGCCTGGACGGCATTACCCCTCACCTCCAAGCCAGGACTGTGTCCACAAGCCAATACAAGCCTATCCTTAGATGCATATATGGCAGGACCCAACACAACTAAAGCCTAAAGCTGGCAGCACCTCTGAGGCGCCCTTGTCTAGATCAGGGGCGTTCATCTGTGTTGTGAGTAATGTTCAGAGACTGGCTATTAAAGCAACTTAAAAGTAATGTAATAAATATGTTTCATTTAAACGTGTAACACTTGTGAATGACCCACTAGCCAGTAAATCTCCTTTGACGTGCAATCTATTATTATGCAGAAGTAGATCTTGCAGAGAAGGAAAAAAAAAAAAAAAAACATCTTTCAACACCTCAGGAAAGAAAGCACATCTTATTAGGAGGTGTTTACTCCTGGTCCTGTTTCATGGTTGTCATTTTACTCTTGTGGTTTTTCTTTAGGTTCTCTTGTCTTTACAAGAACTCATTCTATTTTATACCCTTTGTACTTCTTCTATACTGTGTAACAGGTTTCCCTTTGTTCTGGTAGCATTCTCTTTGCTACAGATTGTCTTTGTGTGCAATGAGCTTTGAGACCCATTTTTTTAAACTTATTTTTTAATTGGAGTATAATTGCTTTGCAATGTTAATGCCGTGTTAGTTTCTGCTGTAGAACGACATGAATCAGCGATAAGTGCACATATATCCCCTCCCGCTGGGCCCTCCCCCCGACTGCATCCCACCCCTCTAGGTCATCACAGAGCTCGGAGCTGAGCCCTCTCTGCTATAGAGCGCCTTCCCACTAGCTGTCTCTCTTACACGTGGCAGTGTGTATATGTCAATGCTACTCTTCCAGTTTGTTCCACCCTCCCCCTTGCCCATCTTTGATGAACTTACTTATTCTTTTCAACAGGAAGCAGCCATCAGTTGCTGGGTCCAATTCAGTGATGGCTCCGTCACCCCCTTGGATATTTATGATGCAAAAGACTTCTCCCTGATGGCCACATCCCTGGATGAGAAGGTGGTCTCCATCCACCAAGACCCCAAATTCAAGTGGCCTATAATCGCCGCTGAAGCTGAAGGACAGGGGGCCCTGGTCAAGGTCGAAATGGTCATTTGCGAATCGTGCCAGAAATCCAAGCGGAAGAGCGTGCTGGCGGTGGGGACAGCCAACATCAAAGTGAAGTTTGGCCAAAACGACGCCACCCCCAACACCAGTGACAGCAGACACAGGGGGGCAGGAGGCCCCCTGGATAATAACATCAGTGACAGAAGACCCAAAAAGCCCTTGCAGGAATGGGGGAGTCAGGAGGGAGAGTACTACGGCAGTTCCTCCGTGGGCCTCATGGAAGGCAGGGGGTCTACGACGGAGCGGTCCACCTTCCAGAAGAATAGGGGCCAGGAAAGCCTTCTGGATGATGGCGGCCATTTGCAGACCATCTCCATCGACCTCACCAGCTTCCCAGCCCAGGTGGACCTGCCCAGAAGCCACGGGGAAACGGAGGAGAGCGACCCCCAGTCCTCCAAAGGGCTGAGCGACCTGGAGATCGGAATGTATGCCCTGCTGGGGGTCTTCTGCCTGGCCATTTTGGTCTTCCTCATCAACTGCGTGACCTTTGCATTAAAGTACAGGCACAAACAGGTCCCCTTCGAAGAACAAGAAGGGATGACTCACTCTCACGACTGGGTCGGCCTGAGCCACCGGACCGAACTGCTGGAGAACCAGCTCCACTTTTCCTCCTCCCAAGAGGAGCAGATCACCGCCATCGACAGGGGCATGGATTTCGAAGAGAGCAAGTATCTGCTCTGCACAGACTCCCAAAAGAGCATCAACGGACAGCTGTTCAGATCTTCAGTACCCACCCTCGCGGACGGGAAAGATCAGAAAAGCGAGCCCCCAACGTCCCCTACCTCAAAAAGAAAAAGAGTCAAATTCACCACTTTCGCCACCCTCTCTCCAGAGGATGGATGCCCCGCCGTGAACTCCCTACCGGCCAGCGGCGAGGATACCGTGAACTGGGTTGGCCAGGATCTGGACCCTGGGGGAGGCCAAGAGTCACGTGGCTACAGGGAAGGATTACGTGAAGATGTGTAAGCTGGGCATTCGCAGACATTGGTTCTCACTCACCTTTCGGCCTTTAACTTGGGGATTCGGGGCAACGGGGACCCGCAGTGGGGGGGAATGAAAAGACAGGGGGGGACTTCCCTGGCGGTCCAGTGGTTAGGATTCAACGCTTCCACTGTAGGGGGCGTGGGTTTGATCCTGGTGAGGGAACTATGGTCCCCCATGCCTCCAGGCGTGGCAAAAAAAAAAAAAAGGACACGATCAGGCTGACACTATCCACAGAGCCTCAGAAAACGACCCTGGCTCCCCCAGTGAGGCCCCGAGTTGGAATCGATGTCCACTTTCCAGGGTCTGATGTCTCAGTCGATGAAAAGAGGTTTATCACGCATGGCGAGATTTTTTTTTCAACTTGGAAGAAAAATGAGTTCTGAGTCACTGAGCTTCCGACAGCTTGCAGGAAAGAACTGTCTCTCTCTTGCCATCTCTCTTTCTTTAATTGAAGCAATTTGGGTATTGCCAAAGCTACACGGCTGCAATATTCAGTGCTACGGACCACAGGAGAAAAAGGAGACCCAGGTGGGGCGGGATGGATGGGAGGAAGTGCGTCATGGAAACTCACCTGGCTGTGAGCCTGAGCAGAAGCGGAGTCTAGCGCCGCCTAGAGTCAGCTCTTGGGAAGCATGATTTCCAGTTATCTCCCAAAGGCTGGGTCAGGGTAAACCCCGGGTTATTGACAAACCAAGGCAATCCTTGACGATGGTTGAAAGGGAACAAGAGGGCAAACAGGTCACCAATACCTTTGTAACTAGATGTCAAGATCAAACACCCAGGAAACAAACCCTCTGAGCCATTCGGAGCATCCCTTTATTGGTAAACTAGGGATCCTGGGCATAGAGTTTCAATCAGGTTCAAAGAACCAGGCTTTTTTAAAAGCAAATTCACTCTGTTCACATTTGTACCCTTCCTTGCATCGCCACCTTTCCAAAAGTCACTGATCACGCGTGAGCAGTGGGGAGCTGTGTCACTGTTTGCTGAGTCTCTTCCCCTGTGGCCTCCCTGTCAATCACCCAGTGACAGGCTACACTGAAGCCCCATGGGGCCAACTTCACACGTGTCTTGCTTTGAAAAGGCTAGTCTTTGGGGGTCAGCAGTGCTCACAAGGAATTCAACACCCAAGGATGCTCATTCTCCTGACTTTTCTGGAAGGAAGGGAGGGATGGTCTGTGATGGGTCTTTCGACAGTCCCATCTGGTCTGCTGCCCAAGGCTGCTGATAAATATCTCCGCCCAAGGCTGAGATAAACCTGGGCATGCCCATAGCGGGGTACAGGGTAAGGAGAGTTGGGACTCAGTGTGTGTGATGAGAAGGGTCGGGCAGGAAATCTGGTCCCACTCACATGTGTGGGGGAATATGAGGCTGTTTCTGCTTCACCTTGGAGGGATGGAGGGACCCATGGCACCTGCCTATGGGGTAGAGAGCTGGGTTATTCGAGCATTGGGTTCTAAGGTCAATATCTCTTTCTCTGTGTGTCTGTCTCTGTGTCTCTCTGAACCTATCTCTCTGCTTCCTCTCTCTCTGTGTCTCTGTCTCCCTCTCTCTGCGCATATAATTGAATTCTCCTGAGATCAAGTATGTAATTCCACCAGTTCATCCTCTCAACCTCAGCACTCTCTCTCAAACTAAGGTGCTGTCCATTTGCCCTAGGACTGAGAGTTCAGGAGCCATCAGCCACCTGCTCCTGTCCCCAAGTTGACTTACGTTGTCTGGCTGGGTGACTAAATGGTCACCCCTTTTCAATGATAATCCTTTGCTTTCAGTAACACACTCCTGTTCCTTTCAGCCTTTCCCTCATTTTCACACCACTGTCGATGCCCTCTCTCCAATCCGTCTGCGTGCAGAATGTATTGTAGATTATAAGAATGTAATATATATTTATAAACTTACCGACTGTAAATATAAAGTTTGCCTTCTGCGGCTTATGGCTGTCCTTTGTCTTTCTACGCACTCACACCACCCCCTCCCCCGCCCCAGTGGCTGGCATCCTCAGCAAATGACCCTCCAAAGCTGCGGCTTTGGGTAAATGAAAATGCAGATGGAAAGATCCCAGCAACAATCCAATTACACGCTTACATCGTGTAATGCCGCTCTCTGCATTGAGGCGATGTTGACACATGATGACAAAGTACGTTGTGTACTAAGTATCTCTCCTTCAGGACCTGAAAGGATTTGGAAATCAATCACACATGCATTTCTCTGCTAAAAGCCTGTTGACTGATGGTGGTAAGTGAGAACCCCGGCAGGCAAGCGTGTATCCTAGCCTCCCTTTGGGCTGGAGTGAGGGAACAAACGGGCTCTGTCCTCTCTTTGGATCGCTCATGTACATTCAGAGGTCAATTTCCTGAATCATGTATGTGCGCCCACAGTGACTATGCGCTGGGTTTTTTTTTTTTTTAAGGTTGATTTTTCAGGGAATTTCCTGGCGGGCCAGTGGTTAGGAATCTGCCTTCCAGCGCAGGGGACATGGGGTCAGTAACTGCTCGGGGAACTAAGATCCCACATGCCGCAGGCCACTGAGCCTGCATGCCATAGCTACTGAACTCTTGCACCTCAACTAGAGAGAAGTGTGCCTGCCAGAGCGAAGATCCCACGTGCTGCAACTAAGACCTAATGTAGCCAAATAAGTAATTTTTTAAGGTTGATTTTCAGATTCCTCTGATAATCAGTTGCAGTGCCAAGATGATTCCACAGAAAAAGAAGGTGCATGAAATCTGTGTCTTCATGCAAGCAATATCAAGTGATGTATCATTCTCTTATTCAACTGGTATTTATTGAGCACCTACTATATGCTAGTTGTTGTTCAGTTGCTCAGTCATGTCCAGCTCTTTGTGATCCCATGGACTGCAGCACACCAGGCTTCCCTATCCTTCACCATCTCCCAGAGCTTTCTCAAACTCGTGTCCACTGAGTCAGTGATGCCATCCAACCATCTCATCCTCTGTCACCCCCTTCTCCTCCTGCCCTCAATCCTTCCCAGCATCAGGGTCTTTTCCAATGAGTCGGCTCTTCACATTAGGTGGCCAAAGTTTTGGAGCTTCAACTTCAGCATCAGTCCTTTCAATGAATAGTCAGGGTGGTTTTCCTTTAGGACTGACTGGTTTGATCTCCTTGCAGGCCAAGGATGAGTGGTAAATAGACCCATGCCTACTCTCAAAGACCTCTAGTGTGAGGTGGAGGAGATTAACAACAAACAATGTAATTTTCATACATTGTATGAAGGATAATAAAATAGGTTATGGTATAGAAAAAGACTGGGTCAATGCTTAAGACTTTGGCCATTGCACCTAAAAAAAATCTGAATTTCTGTCTTCTCTCGAAAATTCAGACTCTGGCGAGCTGGGTCTTAGAATCCACCTTGGCCCTAATTGGACATCCTGAATTTACTGCTGTCGCCTCTAGGCAGGACGCCCCCACACCCTTGCAGGTCCCTCCACACCCAGATTGTCTCCCTGACCCAGAGGGCAAATTTCATTTGCCATCTATTTCACCATTTTTCTTCTAATAAGAAAGTATTTCTCCCCAGCTGTGTCTCTACCCAGAAGTGCTGAAAACAAAAATAAATGGAGGGAGCTGTGTGTTCTCTAGACAAAATTAGGAGAAGTATATTGTTATGTTAAAGAGAGTACCCTCGATGTCTCGTAGGAAAATAGAGATTGTTGTCTAAAGGGATCCCCAGTCTCAGAGGTCTAATGCCTGATGATCTAAAATGGAGCTGATATAATAATAATAATAGAAAAGTGCACAGTAAATGTTAATGTGCTTGACACATCCCAAAACCATCCCCACCCTTTCCATGGAAAAACTGTCTTCCTCGAAACAGGCCCCTAGTGTCAAAAAGGCTGGGAACCGCTGGTTTAAAAAACACAGCTCACACAGTTCATAATGTGATCTGTGTGCCCAGAGTCGGAGAAAGAAAGGGTGTGAACATCTTAAAGAATTGACTTTTCAACAAGGTGTCTTTGGGGTGCGAATAAAATAAGGGATGCCGCGCAGTTTCTTCTGGCCTGACCTGCTCGCTCATTGGCACCCCTCGTGGGCCCCCATCTCGCCAAGTGGTGAGCTCCGACCCAGTAGACTTAGATGCCAAGCCCCCAAAAAACAGGGTCATCAGCGCCCCCTGGTGGACGCCATGGCTTCCTGCAGCGTTTAGTGCCCAGAGTTGAGCAACCCATTCCCTTAACAGAGTTCCACACGCTCGGAGACCTGAACAACAGACATTTGCTCACAGTCTTGAGGCCGGAAGTCCGAGATCAGGTGTCCACAGGGTCGGTTCCTTCTGAGGCTCTACGGGGCTCTGATCCAGCCCCTCTCTGCCTCCTGGTGGTGGCTCTTGTCCTGCAGAGGCTTCACCCCATCTCTCCCTCCATGCTCACATGGCATTTTCCACATGATGTGCGTGTGTGCGTGTTCAAATTTCCTCATTTTATTTTTTATTTGTATTTTATTTCCCTCTATAGGGAAGAGGACTGAAGGTCTGCATTCAGAGCTGCTCTACGGGTTCTTTGGTCATCAGGTTTTTTTTATTTGTTTGTTTTGGCCACGAGGCACGTGGGATCTTAGTTCCCTGAAAGTGAAAGTGTTAGTCGCTCAGTCCTGTCCTACTCTTTGCCACACTACGGGCTGTAGTCCGCCAGGTTTCTCTGTCTATGGGATTCTCCAGGCAAGAATACTGGAGTGGGTTGCAGGCCCTCCTCCTGGGGATCTTCCCAACCCAGAAATCAAACCTGTGTCTCCTGCATCGCAAGCAGATTCTTGACCATCTGAGCCACCGGGGAAACCCCTTTAGTTCCCTAACCAGGATCAAACTTGCTTCTGCTGCACTGGAAGTGCAGAGTTTTAACCACTAGACTGCCAGGGCGGTCCCCAAATTTCCCCTTATAAATCAATACCAGGCAAGTTGGAGTTGAGCCTGCCCTGCTCCAGGAAGACTCGTCTTAACTAACTACATCCACAAAGACCCTATTTCCAAACAA